ATGCCAGATGGTGTGTGGGATTGTAACACGGAACCTATGGCTGAATCAGACGCATCCACCATTATTGATAAATTATGATTAGGGGAAAAATATCACAAAGTAGCAGAATTGGTTAGGTTAAGTTTACATTTATTAAATGCTTCCACTGCGACATCGTTCCAAGGGATCAAAGTTTTATCTTTTTTCTTGGAGTTTTTCAAAAAATCGTGTAATGGGGCTTGGGTTTGAGCTGCATTTGGTAAAAATCGCCGGTAAAAATTAATCATTGCTAAAAATCTGCGAAGCTCTGCAATATTTTTTGGTTGGGGATAGTCAGTGATCGTTTTTACCTTTTCGGGTAAAGGCTTAACACCTGATGGTGTAATTAAGCACCCTAAAAATGAAACTTGCGGTTTACCGAGAACACATTTTGAAGGATTAAGTTTTAACCCGTGTTCTTCAAGCCTTGTGAAAATTTGTCTTAAATGTTCTCTGTGTTCATCTGCATTTTTGGATGCAATAAACAAATCGTCAAAATATGGGATACAAAAATTTAACCCTGACAGAACTTGATGTATATACCTTTAAAAAGTTTGACCAGCGTTTCTCAAGCCAAAGGGCATATATACATATTCAAAGAGGCCAAATGGCGTTGTAACCGCTGTTTTTGGAATATCCCCAGGAAAAACAGGAATTTGGTGGTACGCTCGGGTTAAATCTAGAGTTAAAAATATCGTCATGCCCTCGAATTGTTGCGTACAATCTTGGATATGTGGAACGGGATATCGGTCGGGGACGGTTATTGCATTAACACGACGATAATCTCCACATGGCCTCCAATCACCATTTGCTTTCTTTACCATGTGAAGCGGACTAGCCCAGGGGCTTTTTGATGGGCGAATAATTCCCTGTTCTAACAAATACTCAAATTCTTTCTTTGCTCCCTCAAGGATATCTGGTGAGAGTCTTCTGGGTTTCGCATAAACGGGTTGTCCGAGAGTCTCAATATGGTGATAAACCAACGATTCGGAATTTAGTTTATTTACTATTGAAGGGTTTGTCAACGATGGAAATTCATTTAAAATTTGCTGAAAAGGTGAGTTATTTAGAACTGGAGTAACTTCGGTAATTTGAGTTGATTTATTTGAGGTGAAACCAGTTGACTTTAAATTAGTTAATTTATCAATTAAACAGTTGTTACGAACATCGACCAATAAATTAAATGATTTGAAAAATCAACTCCAATGATTGCCTGAGTTACATCGGCTATAATAAAGTTCCAAGAAAATTTCCTGCGTAAATTTAAACTAAGATTTATTAATTTAGTACCATATGTTTGGATTTTAGAACCATTTGCAGCATATAGGACCAAAGTTTCTGGATAATTAGCTTTTGAACAAAATTTCGGAATGACTGAAACATCTGCGCCTGTGTCTATCAAAAATTTTAATTTCGTCGAGGGATCGGCCAAATAAATACGATCAATATGGCGTTCGCGACTCATGGCCTGGAGTGGCTGCCCTGTTGGTTTCCCGAATTTTGAAAAGTACATGGGGGTTTGTATTTTCTAGCTCTATCTCCAAAGTTAGTGTGATAAAAACACATGTTATTCTGCGGTTCACGGTAATAATTTCGTCTAGAACGGCACCTACTATGATTTCTATTACCCCGATAGGTATTAGTTCGCTCACGTCCTTGTCTATTTTGCTGAGCTTCCTGAAAACTAGTTTTTAGTTCATTAATTTGTTTAGTAAGTTCAGAAATTTGATCATAAAGTGTAGGATTAGAGCTAGTTACAACTGATTCAGTAGAATTTATTTGGATAGGGCTAGCGAGTTCAATAATCTTATCAGCCATTGCAGTTAACTGAGTTAAATTTTCGTTTGACGCAGCAAGAATAGCTTGTATATTTTGAGGCAATCTGGCTAACCATAGCGATTTAAGAATGTTTTCGCTAAGATGAGATCCTGCTAGTTCTCGCATTCGAGCTAACAAATAGGAAGGACGTTGATCACCTAACTCTAGTCCTTGCAAAAGTGTTCTAATTTTAGAAGCTTCACTCTCTGAAAAAATACTAATTAAGCGATTTTTTAAAGCTGTATATTTGTTTGCAGCAGGTGGGTTTAAAACTAAATCCTGAACAGAGTTAAGTATATCAGATTCAATAGCCGCTACAACGTGATGAAATTTGGTAGCGTCGGTAGAAATTTGAGAAATTGAAAATTGCGATTCTAACTGTGCAAACCATAGCACTGGATTGTTTTTCCAGAACGGAGGTGGTTTAATTGCTACGCGAGAAATTTGAGAAGGTTGAATGTTAACTAAAGCTCCTTCATTTACCACGTCTCCTGGCTGTTCGTTTTCCGGCATTTTTTGACAAAAAAAAATCAAAACAATAAATAGAATAGAGGTAAAATATTTATAAATTAATTTTAAAGCATTCCCTACGCTATATACACACTAATCCAAGAGATAAAAAAAAAAACGCGCACAGTACTACCACAGAATCAGACACAAACACGTGGGTATAACATACAAAATTTTGAACATAAAAAAGAATATGAATAAAATTAAAATAAACATATTGCTAATAGATTTAAATTCATTATATTGCAAGGAAAGTTCCGATTAAATAAAGAATCAACTTAAAGTTTAAGTTCGGGTCTACCAATTATAGCACGTGTGTGCTTTAAAGCTAAGAATAACATGCTATATATTTAAATTGCGTAATTAAAAATTAATTACAAAAATAAATAAGAATAAAAAAGGTTTAAGTTAAAGAAAAATTTAATTTACAACAAAAACATATAATGAAAACTTACATTGTAAAGAATTAGATAATTGTAAAGAAGGGTTGAGGAACGCGTCCTCTCTCCACGCGAGTCAGTTTGGAAGTGAGTATGAGGGGGGTTTACAACCGGTTATGCTGGCTGGATTTACCTTACTTCAGTTCGTTTTGGAGTGGTCAGGAGGGTTGTCGAGGTACATACTTGGGGACTGGGTGTTTGCCGAGGCACACCACATAGGCCTTTCATGTTATATCATTAAATTTAGTAAAACTATTTTTCGGGCATTAGGTTTTAACTCTCATAAGAATATACATATTTTTTTCTGTTTATTTGCATTTAATTTAATTAGCCACGATAAAAAAGGAACGTTGCAATGCTACATTAAAGACGTCTCTAGAGTAAATGAATGACTGTTCATATAGAAATCGCAGGTATTAGTCTCATACAACAACGCTCCCTATAGTTCGTTGCTATTGCGAATAGTATCATTCGTGCTGATTTTTAAAATTTTTTAATCGTTTTTTTGGTAAGTGCTTTTCAGTTTTGAAAGAATAATTTCAACTAGATGCAGCTATTCGGTTTTTAAGCTACAAAATTCATATGGAGATCTTACAATTATAAAATTTTGCTGTGTGGTATTTTATCTAAAAGTAATGAAAGGATAAAGTATGCATATATTATTTGAGAATAAAGTTTTCAAACGAAGAACATATCATTTTGGAATTCTCCGGATTTATAAATCAGGTAAGTGTTATGATTTTTATAATAAAAAATTTGCTTGTAAATAATTTGTTTTCTTATTTGTGATCGTTCTCTAGAGAATGTTTTTTTTATGTCTAATTAAGAATTATAAGAATAAAAAGAAAGAAACAATATGGATGTTTTGTCTTTCAATATGAGGAATTTTTGAAACCGTTTTTTTATCCTATGATTACAATTTTTTTACATTTTTTGTTTATAATTTTTTTCAAAAATTAAATGGTATAGCATTATGTGTTTATGTATACTTCTTGCATATTCTAATGTTTGAAGTAATATGATTCAGAAAAGTATGGAATAAAAATTCGGTACTTACGTATTAACGCCACCACAACTACAGATTTGGCGTCGCCGCCAATCTATACCTAAAACTTTTTGCGACAAATCATACAATAAAACACTTTATGTGAATTGGTACATTTTCATTTTTTCGATAAAATATTTCACTCCTGAAAAAATAAAATTGTATCTTGTTTTGTTTTTGTCAAATCCCAAAGACGCATTTTCGCAACACTAAAAAATGGCATCAAAAAAGAATTGTTTTTTGCTTCGTAAGCATTCTTTAATTTACGTTTTTTAGTTTCTAAATAATGATTTTTATAGAAACTTAAAATTTTTTGATATAAATTGTTGTCAAATAGCTTTGTTTACCAAATTAAATTATATAAAATTATGGGCTTTATGTTCTAACTTTTTGTTCCATTTAATTTTTGAAGATGAAGAATATGATTTTTAAAACTATGGAATGTAAAGTTTAAATGGGTCTTTCATGTTATGTCATTAAATTTAGTAAAACCATTTCTTAGGCATTAGGTTTTAACTCTTATAAGAATATACATATTTTTTCTGTTTATTTACAAATATTTTTTCGATGTGTTTTAGATGTTCCTTCTCTATAAAAAAGAGATACCATTTTGTTACCGTTTGCACAGGAAAGAATATCAAACATTTTTCTTTTTTAATTTTAATAAGCCACAATAAAAAAGGAGCGTTAAAACGCTACATTAAAGACGCTACATTAAAGTTACACGCTACATTAAAGACGCCTCCAAAGTAACTGAATAACTGTTCATATTGAAATCGCAGGTATTCGTCTCATACAACAACGCCGCCTATAGTTCGTTGCGATCGCGAATTCTTACTTGAGGCAAATTTTTCGCATGTGAATGAGAATTGGATTAGTGGAAAATATTTAACTGTGAAGAACGAGCCAATCAGAGGCAAGTCGTTCGCGTGCGAAAAAGTTACATTCAGTGTGAATGGTTGGAAATATCGGAAATACGTGAAATGGCTGCACTGAGTTTGATTCATTACACAAATGCGATACCGCATACCAATCGTATGTGGACCTACGTGTGGATTTGTAGTCTCGCGGCTACCGACGTTTCTCTTTTCTTATCAAAAAGATGAATAAAATTTAAAAAAAGGTAGAAAAGCTAGTACCATTTGCGTTCGATAGAAAAGCAGATGGCGCTAATAACTTAATGGCGTTTTGTTTACGTTGCTAGTTGCTAATGCCGATGGAGCAGGGATATAATTTCCAACTTAAAGGGAAATTTATACAATGATTTAACTGATTGCAGTGTAAATAAATTCAAGATGGCACTTATAACATTAAAACCATTAGATGATGGCCAGAAGGCTGTTGAAATACCTAAAGGGAAAACTGTTATTGGGCGAGGACCTTTACTTGGTGTATGTATTGATATAAAGCATTTTTTCTTGATTAGATAATGCATTTTCGAGTGGATATCACATTTATAAGTAATAAAAGTGTTGGAGCTAATATCATATGATATAAAGTGTAGCAAGAGTACTTTAAAACTTGCTTATATGAAGTATACAAAATCAAAACACTACTCATCTATCAAACTACTTAACGTTATAGAATAATTCGGCAATTATTTTAAAAATTATGTCTTGTGTAATATGTTATAACAGTAGATGAAGTCGCTATTATATCAATGAATATTTATATTAAAAAATGCGTTTTTATTTGGTCAGAGTGGATAGAAATTCGGCAACTGTTTATCGGTTACTTTGTAATGCTAAAAAAGGGATATCTTTATCTGGATCTGCGGCCAAATAATCACCAAGTCTTAGTAACTTCCACCCAACGCCCGTAAGAAGCTATAAAAAGAGAAACATAAAGGAAGGAGACCAACTCGAAGGGCATAACTCAGCCATCCCTGCTCAAACCCCTACATGTTTTCTTTTTTAAATTTCAAAATCCATTTAATGCCTTGGGTAGGTTTTTGGGTAGTGATCTGTGGCAGAATAATCAACAAGTCATTGCAACATTTGGGTAGCGGCCTGCAGGAAAGTAATAAAAAACATCACAGAAAGGGGCCTGCCTGAAGTGTATAACTCCTAGCCTCCAATGGGCAAACATCTACTTGTTTTTGTTTTAAAAAATCCTTTGCAAGTTTAAAATCTATTTTGTACTTTGGCAATTGCAGTTGTCATGACAAATCACAATACTGAAATATCCCCAACGTCTTGACAATTGTGACAACAACAGATCACGATATGGAGATATCCCCTTATATAAAATATGTTTTGATATTTCTAATGATTAGATATTAAAAAATGGAATAGTGTGTTTATTCATATAAGTTTAATGATAGTTTTTTTGGTATTTGACATAGACCTAATTTAAAGTTGGTTGATTGATTGGTCAAAAATTCTTGATGCCTTTTTATTTCCTATGTCAAATAGATTTTTTTTTTTTTTGTTACTGTAATTGTGAAATTTCTGGTATCAGATCAAAACGGTTGCCAAATTTCAACCACAATGTGGCAATGGCATATAAAAATCTAAAAATATAACAGAATGGGACAAACTTGAAATATAAAATTCGTAACCATCTACTATAAGGCCAGCTATTATGTTTATAATTTTTTTTTAAATAATAGCTGCTACACGAAACTAAAAGTCACATTATAACATCTTGGCGTCACAGCTAGCACATATCCAATATAGAAAAGCTCCCATTTTGAGATTTTTCTTGCCAAACTGAGGCAGAGAGGACATGTTTCTACCACAGTGAGAAAAACTGCCTTCAAAGAGATCTTCCAACACAAGTGGAGGAATCTTTTTCAATACGAAATATTTTAAAACAATATTTTTTTAATCAGTTTTAATTGCAAACCAGTCTGAATGATTGTATAATTTTTTTTTTCATGTATTAATCACATACTAATTGTAAAGATAACTACAAATCATACATTAAATTCACAATTATGAAAAACATACTAAAAATGATTAAATAATTTTAAGCATAAATATTGAAGTAAACTGTCAAGTAATATGATGTATGGATTTTTAAGTTCTGTATAAAACTAATATAAATAATAAGAAAATACATATATTTTTAAAAAAGTAGATGTGAAAAACTTTAATCTATTGTGTAATTACTTTTTATCTGGATTAGAATCTACTTTAAAGAGCACAAAACTATTTTTACTTCACTTATTCTTATGGGTATATATTTTTGAATATTCCAGCAACGTTTGAAGTTATTTCAGTTTGTTAATATATTCAAAACTCTATAAATAATATAAAGTCTACGCTTCTTGGTACTACTGCCCATTAGTGCGTTCATACCTTTATAATGACCGTTATGTGAGACGCAATATTATTTTAGTACTCATTATAATGTCCAAATTTAATCATTCAATCCAATATTCCCTCTAAATTTTGTTTCATTTGTGTCATCATTCAAAAAAACTGTGTATAATTTAATTTCATTGTTCTATTTAAAGTATTAAATTTTTTTGCTAAAATAAGTCTAGTATTTATGAAATATAAGTCACTTATTTCGGGCAGTCATGAACCTTACATTATAAACATAAATTTTTGTTTCAACCACAGGACTTGTTATATCGAACTTCAAATTTTTTTTTTCGAAAGAAATATTTTCTTTCATTTTTGCTTAAAATAGCACTAATAACAATTTTGAAAATTCAAAAATGAAGTTTTAAAAATATCAATTATTTAAAATTGTAAAAAATGCATGTTTTTATAAACAATATGAAAAAAATAGATAGCTTAATAAAAATGTGAAATGAAAAGTTATGTAAATGTTAATACAAAAATAATGAAATTCATTAAAAAGAAAATTATTATTATAGAAAATAAATAAAAGCAGTCCTTTCTATTTTTTATGCCATAAATGACTTTTGCTAAAAAAAACTTTTCACATTATATAATGATAATTTATTTCTTTTATTTACCATCTGTATAAAGTTTATAATTGTTTGATAATATGCAACAATTAAATTGTCAAGACAGATGATGTTCTTCAAAATGCAACTTGTCAAGGTTAGCAAAGATTAAATATTATTTTTAAATCCTTTTAGAATTAAAATCACCCTTTTCATTTTCAGTGTAGTGACAAAAAAGTTTCTCGAAATCATGCAGTTTTGGAGGTGACGAATAAGGATGAAGTTTTTCTTACCCCTGTAAGTTTAATGATATTTATTAATTTTTTCATTGTTTATAATTATTTTCATTTTTGATTTTATTTATAAACATAAGTTATTAGTATTCAAATAGTTTATTTTATAAAAAAGCTTTAATTGTGTCTAAAAAGTTTTTTTACATCAAACCAACCACTAAACATTTTTTTAGGTAAACAATAGATTTTACTGTTTTTTGGCATGATTTTTTTTACTTGCTTTTGACTTAATTTTAAAAGTTTCACATTTTTGCGATATTTTTTTTAGGATTATTGAATTGTGAAAATTCTCTATTTTAATTTTTAATCAACTATAACTTTTGAGCTATTTTACCCAGAAAGTTAAATTTTGTGTTATTTGGTTCAGTTTTTCATGATATTGCATAAAATATTTTTAAATGTTCTTCCTAAGCATATTTAGTAGTGCGTCCCATCTTGTCTGCCCTTCGATTCCTATAAATGTGTAAAAATAAGCTGCCATCTCTTTAAAATACTGCCTTTTTATTCATATTCGATTTTTAAGAAAAATTAATCAACTGTTAAAATAAATGCTTACGAAAACTATTTTTTATTGGTTTATTTAGGATTACTATTTCAAATATTTACTTTGTTAGGATTATTCTCAACTGGTAAAATTATAAGTTTCTCTTTTTCCAAGAGAGTATAGTACTAAATTTTTTAAGCTATTTTAAATTTTAAAAATATTTTTTAAATAAATATCTTTTTGAAAAAAATGCACCTGTAAATGCTAATTTTTTATAATTTTTAAAAATTGACACCTACCAGTTAAATTAATGAAAAAAATGAGTAATCTTTACTTGTTTTTTCGTTTTTAGCTACAATTTCGTATACAGCTCGTTTAATACTAACAATTTTTTGCAAATTTGCTTATTGATTTTCATTTGCAAGTAAAAATTGTTTTAAAGTTTTTATGCTTTGTGTCGATTGATCAGCTGTTGGCACGTCTTCTGTTATTTCATCATCATCACTATCGTCGGAATCAGGCATTACATCACTTATGGAAGGGATTTCTGAAGTAATGATATCTGTGTCACAGTCGATGTATGCATCATCGACTTCCGGACGATCCTCAACTTCAGACACGCTACCTTCTTCTTCCAAAACAACAGCGCTCTCCTCCTCCGATATTTAATCCATTGATAAAGCAGTTTCGGTCGACACTGTCCCAAGCTGAAGATATCAAATTAAGAGCCTCAAGAACATTAATTTTTGCCTTAGACGCATCCTGAAAGTCACCAGAATCAAGAAACGTTAGAGATTTTCTAACCAGTTGCTTCCGGCAACTCTCTTTAAATGATTGTATAATTCCTAAATCCAGTGGTTGAAGTTTGCTCGTACAGGTAGCTGGAAAAAACTCTATTTGCATGTTTTTCAATTAAAGGTTTAAATGAGCAGTGCATTGGTCTAGGAATAAAATTATGTTGCGCTTTTGAAACTCATTTTCTTATCCAGTTTTCGAAGAGAAAAAAATTTAAATAATGCTTGCGCCATCCATGCTTTTTTGTTTGAAGCGTAATCGGTAGGAAAACTTTTGAAATTTTTGAAACACCGTGGTTTCCCTGCTCTAACGATCACAAGAGGCGTTAACCTTTGGCTTCCATCGGCATTTGCACAGAGCAAAACAGTCAAGCTCATTTTTGAAAGCTTTCCTCTATGGCAATTTTCACCTTTAATTGTCAATGTCTTGTTTGGCAATAGGTTGAAAAACAATCCCGTTTCGTCCCCATTAAATATGTCACTTGGATTATAGCCCTTTAATAAATTTGGCAGAGTTTCTTCTTTCCACTGTTGCACAGTTGTCATGTTCACACTATCGGATTCGCAACAGATAGATTTGAAGCATAAATTGTTCCTTTTTTATTAATCGATCGATCCAGCCATTTGATGCACTTAAGCCTTGGAGTTAAAGCCTTTCAGCAATTTCAAGCGCCTTTTCTCTCAGGATGGATCCATTTATAGGAATCTTTGCTGCTCTGTCTTCCTTGAACCAGTTCATTAAAATTTTTTCTAACTCATCATACGGAGATGTTTTAAGGGTTTTTCTCTTCTTGGTATATTTTTTGAGTTTTTCAGCGTTTAGTTCTACTGAAGCTTTTTGCTTTAAAATCATTTGCAAAGTTGAATAAGCAATATCCAAAGATTTGGCAAAATCAACTTTAGTGCCATGAAATTCTTTAGCTTTTTCGACGATTTCAACCTTTTCGGCTAGAGAAAAGCATTTTCGTTTCGACATCTTCTTTCGAGAAAAGAACACGATGACTGAGGTTTTGAAAATGAGAAAAAATGCTATAGCTTTCAAACTCAAACAAAACAGACTGAAAATCTCATTTGGTATGCTAAAACGGAAAAATGAGTAAGACCATTTCGAATAGAATAAATTAAAAAAAATTTGATCTGTTTGTAAAAAAACGCATCAAGCGTGATTTTCTTAAAAGGGGTAAAGCAAAATCCGGGATTTTTTAACATTATCGCTATAGGCAATTTTCACGGATCAGCAGAAAATGGCATAAGAAGCAGGATAGCGTACGAAACGGACAACATAAAATCGGGATTCCACTGTATATATACATATATATATATTTTTTAATGTACCTATGCACAGAGATTGTCTCTTAGCAAGGCTTTTATTATTATTTATAACTACAAAATTTTCTCTTATTTAGATAATGAGTGAAAATTACTTTTTGAAATACTCATAGTATAAGGCAGTAACTTGAAAATTGTTGAGGTTCCAATTCAGCTGTTACATATTACACATTTTGATATATTTTTACGGTGTTACGTGAGTGCCCTTTCAAATCTCAAAGTACCCTTTTCTGTGCGCCCCGCCCTTTTTTGTTTCTAGGCAGAACTTGTTGAACTGTGAGTATCCTTGGTGTTGTATTCCAAGTAAGAAACATACTATCTTAAAATATATATATTTAATAAATCAACAAAACAATTAACATGCTAGCAGCAAGTAACAAAGATTAGTATTAGTAGCGTGTTTATATACTCTCTGTAAAGGTAAGGCAGCGTCAGAAACTACAGGCTGTCGTCATTGACTCATAGTGGTGACGGAAGGTGATGTCGGCTGTCATCGCAACAGAACTAGTTTTGGCTAAGTTATTTAAAAGAATAATTTATTTGGGGAAAAGTGAAATATTTAAAGAATTAAATTGAAATTTTTGAATATTTTGTTTTGAAGAAAATTATTAAAATATATGTTTTTAAAAATAAAAATTTTAACCTAAAAGCAAATTGTTCGAAATTTTTTTAATTTTTTATTCATTTTACTAGCTCTGTCTAAATTCAAACACATGAAACTCTGTTGATTTTGCATAGAATTACGTTAAAATAAAAAAAAATTCCAAGACTCTTCAAAGTCTAAAATATTAAAGATATTGGTAGGAATTGTAATGTTTAAATCTAATCACACACTCTTTACAATTTTCTTTTCATTCTGGTAAAAATGGGGGTTTTGAACACTCTTATTTATTGTTTTATATATATANTAGTGAAGTTTTTATATATATATAAATGCTCATTGAAAATAAAACTATTGCCTTTATAGTTTTAAAATAGATAAAAGGTTAACACATAGCTGCCAACTCTACTGGATTTTGCCAGATTCTCCTGGTCTACTGGTTTAATAAAAATTTTCCAGGTTTTTGTGCATTTTAGAAAATTCCCTAAAATTGAAAAAGTTTCCTTAAAAAATCCCTATTGAAATAGAATTTTTGATCTGATTATTGCTTGCTTGAATAATTAAATAAGTGTTACTAATGCATAAAGAAACGAGCCACATTTATAAAAGTCAGTTGACTATCTTGAATGAATTAAATCCTTATTACTCTTCAAAATTAAGAATAAACATAATACATTACATTTCAAGTTCATTCAGTGTTAATTGTAACTGGAAAATATTGCAGGTTTTTATTTTTATTTTTATTGCTAAAATTCCCTATGTGTAAAATATTTAAAGCATTTTGTAACAATTGTCAAGAAATTTATACTATTTCGTAAAATCTACTGGATTTTTCCCTATTCATGTTGGCAGCTATGTTAACATGTTTTGTTGGCTGAACATCTTTCCTCATCAGGACATTAACTTGAAAAATAAAAACTTTGAAACATATTTACACCAAAAAAAAAAAGAAGAAGAAAAAACACATTTGTCAATGAAATAGCAAAATAGGAAAACATAAAACAAGAAAAACTGTAGTAGAGGATGGTATTAGCCAAAAAAGAAAAAAAAAACTTATCATTTGCTAAATTAGGATCGAAAAAAATTGGAATCATTAACCAGAGAATCTTAGTTGATTTAAATTAAATAAGACTCAAGGTTATTAAAATGAATTAATGTGTCAAGAATAGGAAGAATTTCAACATTTAACAAATTAAAATTGTATTTTTTTAAGGTTCTAATAATGTGCAGCAGTTGATACTTGATTTCATCGTGATAGGCATATCCGTTAGCAAAGCCTAATATAGCAGAAGTTACTTTGACTAGATATGGGGTAGATGTCCCAGGAATTGTCAATATTAATAGATCTTAAATGCATACTTGAAATTTATTTTAATATTAAACTAGCTTAAAAATGGCTAAATCAGTTTAACTTTGTCCTGCTTAAAATCAGACAAGATACTAGAAAATTTTTAGCAAATTGGTTGGCGAACAGTGAAGGAATCAATTCAATATTATGTTATAATAAAAAATTGGTGATTGGGTCTAGTAAGTTTAGGGAGAGTTCTATCAACTATAAAATGGTTAAATCCACAGCTAGCAGCAAAATAAATAAAGTTAAAAATTGAAAGAATATTTAGAGGATAGTAAGTGTGCAGAAAATTTGAGCAAGAAAATAAATATATTCAAAACGTATGCAACGACTATCAGAAAATTATTTAGTATTGGAGTTATTTATTATCAAATTTGGTCTTAAAACTAAAATTTTTCCTTTGTCATTAATCATAATTTTTTTGAAATTTGCCCTTTTTATAGTGTGGGCAACTTTTTTTCTTCCACCCAACTGTTTATTGTCATTCTACTTTCAGACACATGTGAATCCCTGTTTTTATCAGCCAACTGCTGACAGTCCTGGTCAGATATTGAAAAAAGATGTGCCGTGTAAACTTGAAAATGGCGATTCCTTCTCTCTCCTACCTCGTGCATATCGTTATCAACTCAATATCAATCCTTCTGATCAGTATGTATTCTTTATACATTTGTACTTCAGTCACTCGTTTATTATTATAGAAATTGAGGTTTTATGTTTAGTTTACAAAAAATAAAAGATGATTCATTCTTTTATTTGAAAAGGTGTAATTTGTAATTAATATGTAATTTGCATTTAAAAGCACTGTTCAACAGGAAGTGTTAATAATTACACTGCCAATAATTTTCTACTATGCAGTTTTCAGTGTGTAAAATAGAATTTAGCTATTGGTAAAGACTGTGTTTAGGTCCTAACATTTTTGATTTTTCTAATGGTTTACCATTGGACTAGCCACTCATTTATTTTTGTAACATAATAATTGTAGCACCTATGATAAGATTATGGGCTGAAATTAAGGAAGAAATGACTGTTCTAAACATTTATAACAGCTCAAAATTTTTATGACTTTAGCAATTTATTGTACAGAAAATGTTGATATTTAAAAGATGTATTCTCCATAATTATATTTCACACAGTTTTCAGAATATAAAAGAAACTAGTAAATTAATACTTTCAACGTTTTGATTACTAAAATTTTAAAATTCTAGGCCTTCTCAAATTTTTCTTAGCTTACTAGAAAATCATTTTCTAATTCAGTTTTTGAAGCAATTTAACTAAGGTTTGCTGCCTCTCATATTTCTGAGTTTCCACTCCACAGGGAGAGCAGGGAAAGCCTGGAAAATACAGGAAATTTAAAAATAACAGGCAATTTTGACTTTTTCTTTACAAACTAGGAAAGATTTTTTTTTCCTTATTTTCATCTTTAAAAATAGTGACCACTCAAAGTGTAATCTATGGTACATTTAAGGATGATATTTCAGCAAGTTTTTCCAGCAAATAAAACTAGTAAAGCCAATATAGCTCACACAAGAGCACAGTAATTCATCTTAACATATTGTGTATAATATCTAAGTTCCATATTTGAGTGGCAGCCCTGTATTTGCCCATCAAAATATGTCTACAATTTCTTTTGTATCAGCTGATATTTTAAAATTTTATAAGTTACTTAACTAAAAATTACAATGCAATAGATACCATTACAGATCTCCATAGAAATAAAAGTGTTTTCTTAGAGCAAACAGGTTATTCAAAAATTTGTACAGAAAAGTTTTCTGAGTTTTTTTTTATTTATTTATTGGAATTGGTATTAAAAAAATGTGGAATGATGAGGTTTTAAGCATTCTACTATGACAAAGGAAGAAACCCATTGTTGCCTTTCTTTCTACTCACCATGACTGTCTTATTATCTATTATAACACCTGTATTGAAAAATTAATACTTAGCACCTAAATGGTTGACCCACATTTAAGAGGACACTATACTGTGGGAGAAATCCTTCATGGCAAATTCTCTTTCAACCACATAAATTATTGAAAAAAAAGTTCAGGTTAATCTAGAATAAGCCACAAAGTTAAAAATTCTAAAATAAATTTTTAAAACTATCAAAATATTAACAAATTATGGCTGAATCACTTAATATTACATAGTGAAGTTTTTCTGCAATAATTTGTTTTCATTTTGGTATTTTGAAAACATTATTTCAGCATATGAAACTTTGTAGCTTACTCAAGGTTTACCTGCATTAATTTTTTTTTCTATACTTTATATTTTAAAATACCATTGAATGAAGTTTTAAGGGAATTTACCGTGAAAGGTTTCGCCCACAGTGTAGTGTCCTCTTAATATTTGTTTGTCATAAGAGAGGTATTGGGAGGGAAGTTAAAAAATAGACTGACAGACCATACTTTGCACTGATATCATTTTTCTGTTAAGTATTTTTTTAAAATTGCTTTTTCTTTTCTGTCTGCAATTTGTTATCGAATATGAATTTAAAAATACAACGTGTGTGTGTTTCAGAAATGAGGAGGGAAAAACAAATGGTTCCACCGTAGATCATTTACATGATGGAAATACTACAAATGAAGAATTTGGGGACACCAGTAAGTAAACCCCATTTTATAGTTATGACCAAAATTTATAAATTTAAATATCTTTTTTAAATTATTATGTAAAAAGAATAACAAGAGAATTCTATTATACTTTGAGGGTTTTTAGTTTAAAGTTTTTCAACAATTCATTTTCGTATTGAGAAATAGTTCTATGGTGTAATTTTTAGTGCAGTTTCTGTCTGCAAATCATCTGTTTGAGCAAAAATAATCATTCAGTCATCTAAATGAAAGCTACCCGATTCTGCTTACATGCTGTAGTATGGCAAATATGCCAAAAATCTTAGAAGGAACATGAAAAAGTTTATGATTTGTCTGTCATCAGTACATTCAAATAGCTAAATTAAATTAAACATTATAAACAGAAAATAAATAAATCGAAAAATTAATTTCTGCGCTGTGGTGATTTCAAATTCGGGTTACTTGAAGAATATTAATTCATAATTCTGTCATTAAAGAATATAAATGAAAAATTTATATTATTTTAAATAAAGACCTGCTTTTAGTAAAAAGAAGAAAGTTTTTTTTTTTTATGTTAATGTCTGAAATACTTATTTGGAAGTTACACCTTTCCTCTAAAAAAATTTTTCTTCTTCTTTCCAACTGTTGATGAACAACTGACCTAATGCTTGTCTGTCTTCAACTCCATAACCTTGCATTTTTTAAACCACTAAAGAAGATAAGAGAAATTCTGGATCAAGCATTGGGGCAAACAATGCCTTTGTGGGGAAATTTTATTTATTTATTTTTTTTTTAATGAAACGAATCTGCTTTTACATTACATGGGGAGGAATATCACGAAAATTTCCCACGTGTGGCCTAATAGCACCACTGAGGATATTTTATATTTGCAGGGTATCCGCGCGCCTGGAAAGTCATTAAAAATCATGAATTTCGGTATCGAACAAAATTTTTCACGATTTTAACTATTTTTTTTTAAAAAAAAAATCATGAAAAGTTATGGATTTAGGTCGCCGAACAATTTTATTTTTAGAATGGGATTCCTCTGCCCCTCCCCAATATCATGGTGTTCCGAATATCTGAATTTGTGACAAAATCCCCACTCAAAGTCATATTTTATTAAAATATAAAATGTTTTTATCATGTTCTTTAAAAATTATGGTGTTCTTTCAAAAAATATCATTTCTAGAGTGAAGTATGTTTTAAACTTGTGTAATTTCAGAATTATTATTTTTATTTTATATATTTAAAATTATAGCTTAAGCAAGCTAGTCATTGGCAATTTTTTTTTTTTTTTTTTTTTTTTTTAAATGAGAATAGAAAAATCAGGAGTATTTCTTTCCTTTCTGATGAACAAGAAAATTATCTTTAGAATATAATTCTGCAGAAAAAAATCAATAAATATGAAGATGCAGAGTAAAACAGTTTTGGTTATACCTATCATTTCAATGAATTAACATTCATTGAAATGCTTCTCAAATTAATTATTCTGTTTTTGTTGGAGAAAATAGTAACTTCAATAAGTCATGAAAAGTTCTTGGAATTAGTCATGGAAAGTCATGAATTTGAAAACTTAAGATGTAGCAGATACCCTGTATTTGCTCTGTGCTCGCTACGAGCTGAAAGCAGAATTTAAATCAACCAGCCATCATTGGATTTCTGACCTCTGTAAATTCATTAGGAAACAAATGCTCTATCTCCTGAACCACCACAGCTTTTCCAAAGGATTTGAAAAGCATCCAACATAGTGTATGCCTTACTAGTTGACTTTATATTTACCCTGTTTATTACATAGATAATTCATATTATACTTAGGATGGCCACAGGACAGAAAATTTTATTAATCGGAAGAAAAAAAAATTAGGAAATCCTGTGAATGAAATTAAAATATCCAAAATCAGAGAAAAGGAATAAATTTGAGTCTGATGTAACCAAAAAGTGTAATATTTTATAATTAGTATAAAAAAATGAGAGATATTTTCTGATTGAATTTGGTTAAATTTAAAACAATTTGTAGGTATCTGCTGAATTTTTTAAACTTCTTATAAATCTATTTGCTTAGAGTAAAAAGTTGATTTGACATTTCTCCTCAGAAAATATTGTACTATTAAAATCAAAAATGTTTGATTAATTATTTCAGTTTAGGCATATATTCTATATACCAAAATTTTTTTTTTGCTGTAAATGTGACAAAAAGTATATTTTATACTGTCATCACTGAATATTATTCCTGGTTCAGGCAGAAACAAACATTAAAATGTGTGTTCGCAGAAATACTAAAAATATTAATCCATAGCTCCATTTTGCAATAATATTAACAAAATAGCATTACAATACATAGAAATGTCATTGCATCTGTGGAATAGCAAATAGGACTGGATGCATTGATCCTTATAATGGAAAGATCTCTGTATTGTGGGCATCTTACTAAAATATTGCAGTTACTTTTGATCTATCATAAATAGTTGTGTAAAATAAAATGTGTGTGCTATCCATTTCTTTTTACATACCTGAATCATGTCATATAATATGTCTATTGAGTTTATCTCTTAAATATTTTTTTTTAAAAAAATGCTTATTTTCAATTTTAATTGTAAGCAAAAGTGTTTTATAATACAATCAGATCATGCTACAGTGATCCGTCTCTGAATTTAGTAATTAGTTCACCATAACAATGGTTCAGTATATCCAAAATCTCTAAAAAAAATATTTTTTTAGCATATTGTAGTAGTATTGTTGAAAAAAGTAAGTGATTGTAACTTGTAACAGCATAAAGTTTGCTTTATAGGTTTTCAGGTATTTAAATATATAGAATCCCTCTACAACTAATTTTCCTGGCTGTAAATTTCTTCTTATAATGAAATTTTTAATTGAAATGTTAAATAACGTTCAACATATTCTTCATAATACAGAAGGATTGTCTTCCTATAATGATTTTTTACATATTTTTCTTTACACTTAAATTTGCTTTACATGGAGAGGAAAGCCTCCCACGGTTAGCCTGACGTCAAGAGGACATTAACCCATGATCCGCAGGGCTGATTGTGCTCCGGATTTTTCACTAACAGTGATCCGATAGTTTCTGGAGATTGAAGGTCCAGACGTTTCAAAAAAAGACATTGATCACAAAAGTTTCCGGAAATTAAATTTTCAAAGGTGGAACTTAAAAACACAGTTTATTTTATTTGTTTGTAAGGGAGAGACAGAGAGATACTTTATAATCTTATATTCATGATTAATATTAATTTTTTATCAGTAAATAGTTGTTATAATCATAAACTCAAGAAAGAAAGACATATTTGTAAATTTTAATTACTTCTCCAGGTCATTATATAGGTATGTGTAAAATTTAAATATATTTTAAGTAAACTAAGAAATATTGAGAGAAAGGAAAAAAAAACCTTGTTTAAATTTTTTTCTAATTTTTCAACTGTTTTTTTTTTCTTCTTTAAACTCAAGAAATTTTCCGGAATTTTGACTTGGACTCACAATCACCCCTGGATCCGTCAACCACTGAGAATATTTTACATCAGCTGCTCGGTCCGAGCCGGAAGCAAAATTCGTATCGATCGATCGTCGGTGGGATTCCAACCCGGTTCACTTTATTGGAAGGTGAACGCTCTATCACCATGGCTTTCTGATTCTTTGTGGCTATTCTAATTTTTCTTACAATAATAAAATTGAAATGGTCTCCTGAAAGTAAGTTAGTTGCAAACCATTTCATTTATTAGTGTCAGGAAGAAAACTGGGCTGTTTAAGAAGAGTGGGGTTTTTTCTTTCTCTTTTTTAAATCTATTATTTAAAATGTTGCACACAGTTATTCAACTGTCTTATCAAATGAAGTGGAATTTTTCAAATTAACTTTAATCTGTTTCAGTTGTGTCTGAAAAAGCATTTTCAAAAGAAGAAAATGTGGAAAAAAATTGTTTAAAGGAAGAAAACACTTTCTCAAAGAGAATTGCAGAAATCAAAGGAAATGATGAGAACAACTTTACAGCAAAAAACTGTGATGAAAGCAGCACCAGTGTTGTAGAACCGACGCAAAATAAAAGTGGTGCTGAGGAGCCTGCACTCGAGAGTAAGGATAACGATGCTTCTGCGGACTCAAAAAGTGTTGATGAAACAATCGAGGAGACTAAGAACAATGTTTCTGGAGGGGAAGATAAAACTGAAATGGAAACTCCAGAATCTCAAGAAGAACCTCCTCTGGAGGTAAGTGAGTCATTCCACGTCAGATTAATCACTTTTGGACCTACCCTCCTCCGATTTTATTGAAATTTGGTGAAATAAACACTCATTATAAAGTAAGTAATTCTACCAATTATTAGATTTTTAATTTGAAAATTGTCCAAATTATGGACATTGGAAAAAATAAAATTTTCATAAGAAACAACTAACTTGCATACATATAAATGGCTGTAACTTTTTCCCTAATTGTATCAGAAAAAAATTACAGAACTATTTCAAAGCTAAAAAAATAGATCTTCCATTTGATACCTTATAGTTATGTTGACCTAGCCTTCTCAGGCTAGGTCAAACTTTCAAAATGACCTGATTTGACCTTAGACCTTAAATATCTCAAAGTATTTGGTCTCAAAAAATTACGAAAAAAAATATATTTTCTTACATCAGCATTCTTCTACACATTTACAAATCAGGGGTGATTGTGCTCTGGAAAAAATCCGCATTTTTCGTTAAACGCGTTCCGAAAGTTTCCGGAAATCCAAAGTCCAGAAGCTTCCAGAAATCATCTATCACATTTATGCATAAAAATTCTTGTATATTTTATTTAAAAATATTAGAACTAGAATTTATACTTGGCGTCTCTTTCATTTGTAAATATTTTTTGTGGTAGAATAATAAATGTGATTAGAGATAAAAGTAAACTTACACATAATTATTCATTTAAATTATGCTGCATGTAATTCATTTAGAATATCATGTTGTGAAAATTTCAATGATTTAAATTTATAAAGATATTAATTTTTGGAAGGATTTTACTCAAGAAATTTTCAGGATTTTTGAGTTGGACCCACAATCACCCCTGACAAATTTATAGCCTGGAGTCTCAAAAGGAAGTATGTAAAGAATTAATAAAAGTGGTATGCTGTATACCTTTTTTTCCACTAAAACAATCCATGTAAAAGTGAGTAAAGAACCTAAATTCTTAAACCAATATATAAAAATAAACGATCATTTCCATCGAAAATAATATTTATCCAATACTTTTGGCTCCTAAAATGTACCCAAAATAGCAATTTTATTTTTAAAAAATGCTTTACTTTAAATAAGCATAAAATATGTGAACTAATTACATGATATGAATAACATTTATTTCATAGAAAATATGTTATAAAAACTAAAAGAAAAATTATGACTATTGACTCTGTAAAAATATGTTATGAACGGAATTAGTAATTATTGAAACATAAAAACTTTATAAAATAGTTAGGAATAATATAATGTTATCTTTGTGTTTACTATTTTCATCTCATTCGGTGGTATGAAATAAGACCATCCCTGCCAATTCAAGACCCTGTTTGATAAAAAGCATGACTGTTGATTAGTAATGAAAGAATGTGGTAGAAGCATTCTCAGTTTTGCTTCAAATGTTTCAAGAAAATCTTTTACATTGTTGTTAACTGTCATAAGCGATCAGTTGTAGCCCACAGTATATAGATAATCTCGTCTATTCCGTTCAAGAGAAGCACGTTGTATATTTTCTCTATTACGTGTGTAATTCCAGGGCAATAATCACAATTGAAAAAAAAAGCATTCTGGAAGAAGAGAATTGCAAACCATACTTGATAGACAATCTTTGTATGTTTTAAATGGTAATTCTTCATAGCGAGTTAAATGCTGTAATTTGCAACCAACTAGCATAAGTTTTGCATTTCCATGAATCAAACAGACACAGACACAATGGGGTTTACTCGCACCAGCAAGCTCACAGTTTTTCGGATACGAATCACAGAACTTAGAGAATCCAACTTGAACATTGAAATTTTTATCTTTAAACCCTTGAAAAATTTATTTTAAGATTTCCTAAACCAGACACTTTTGTTTAACTAAAGTGTCAGGATGCTTGCATATTAAATTCAAACATCTGCTTTAGCACTCACAGCAGATGATAATTTTGTAGCATCAAAACATAATTAAAATTCACCTATTTAAGATTTATGTTTTGCTTTTTTCCTCTCTGCAAAATATAATTTTATTTCATTAAATGCATTGGTCTTTTATTTCTTTTCCATTCGGAATTACTTACAATACTTGCTTTTATTTAATAAAGAAACTTCATTGTTGTTTTTAAAACATCGTTAAATTTGTTATTAAGCTAGTAAATGTTAATGACTCACAGTAACTTAGAACTACAATATCTTATATTTTGAAAGTAAAGGAAGAACTTCAGGGTGGCCACCCACCTGGAAAA